TCAGCCAGTCAAACTATTGTGTCTTTTTCTCTCTACCGCACCCGTCAGACCTGGCCAACGCCTCGCCTTCGACCCATCTGTCTTGACATACTTGGCAATGTTACTGATCCCCAGTCCGTGTCGCCATGAAAATGGCCCACTGCCATACACTTTTCCTCGTAACCCTGATGGAACAGAGGCGTTTCTCGTTCAAGCAAGGTCAAGGTATATAGCCCACCCAGGCCCAATCCTCTCCCGTAATCCGGTTCCGTGACCTGTCAGCCGTGAAAGCCATTATGGCCGAACGGTATGATTCCGAACTGTGAGGGCTATACCGGCTATGTATGGTGATGAACCACGTATAGGTCGGCTCAGCCTTTTGTTTTTTTGCTTCGTTTTCTACGGCTGGTTTATAATCAAGTACCTCTTGATTGCGAGTATGGGATTATGTAGACGTGGAGGTTTAGGTGGAAGGTGATTTAGTGTTTGAGACTATGTTTTTTGCGGGTAGTTTGGGTGAACAAGTGGTGAGATGCGAGGATGCTCAGAGTAGAGATTTTTGCGGGTTCGAATTGGGATCATCACAAGGTTTTTTGCTTTGTTTATATTTGAAGAGGCTCTGCTTGGAATGATATTTGATAGTTCGCAATAACTCAGCGTGGAGTTTGGATGAACAGTGACGAGACAAGAATGCATTTCCGAGAGCGAGGATATCGGCGCGTTCGAAACCCGGTATCGTAGAGAATTTTGTTTTGTCGAAAAATTTGAAGAGCTCTATTTTGAAAATGGTGTTTTGATGTCTTCACGACTTTGCAGTAGGTGCTGTTGGTTCATTGTTCGATTACTTTTCTTCTTTTGCGCGGGGATATAAGGCAAGAGGTCTAATGAGGCTTCGAAAAACCATGTCACGGAGCAGAGATCCTTTCCTACATACCGATGGAGCAGGTGTTTGAACCAAGACGATATTCAAAATTTCTCTCTAGCTAGACTTTTGCAGCAAGTACGGGAGTGATGCAGTCTTTGAACCCCCCCCCCCCCTCTAACCCCCTTTCTCTCTTGAAATGTCTCTCGCCTCGAAAATACTCCCCCTACTTTTTTCGACGGTGTTGATAGTTGGTGATGGTATAGGTAGCATAAAGTATAGCAAAGAGATATCAAAAAAAAAGTCGTAACGTCATGCAAGAAGGTAGTATAGTATATCCACTTCCCATCGCTTTTCCGCCCGCCCCCCCTGGGAACACAAAAAAAACAAGGATCCCAAACAACTCCCCAAACATCATTGGATATCCCAACTTTGCGACCTATATCGAACGATTGTGAAAAATTTCAACACCGGAAGGCGGGGGAGGAAAGCGGTTCGAACCCATATTGGTGGTGTCCGTCTAAAGCAGGCAGCCCCCCCTATCATCCGTTTAGGAACCCCCTGGTTGCATTCCTTGCATTCTCCGAGCTATATGCGTCGAGCTTGACGGCGACGAGCACGCACTCGACGGAGCTCTTTCCGCCGCGCGAACCCTGAATCTTGAGCCTCCATTGGCCCGTCCGAACTACCCACTCCTCGGCCGCGAGCGCCGCCTGGCCCTGGCCTGCGGCCGTCGCGAAGCCGTGGGAGTCGACCCGTCTCCGCTTGCGCGAGTTGGGCTGGAACGCTGTCGTTGCTGTGGGTGATTCGGCTGTGCTCGAGGCCGCGGACACGGGGTTGTTGTTGTTGGCGGTGGTAGGCTGTAGGTCTTCAAAGTCTAGGGTGTGTGGTCTGCCGTCGAGGGTGATGGAGGTGTCGCTGTCGATGGACACGCGCACGAGGTCCTCGCTGAGCGGGGTGTGTCCCGGTGTCGGGGGCTGGCTGCCGGCGCCGCCCGAGGCCATGAGGAGGCCTAGGGGTTGCGTCGTCGGCGGGAGGTTGAGCTTGGTGGCCACGACTTCGAAGAGGCGCGCCACGCGGGCGCGGGTGTCTTTGAAGAACTCGGCGCGGACGGAGCCGGAGCTGTGGTGGAAGTGGAGGCGGGTGCTCTCGCCGCCGATTTCGAGGACCAGCTCCGCCGCGCGGTCGTCAACGTAGGGGCGGGCGTAGTTTACCCAGCCGGAGAGGTGGTCAGCGGGGGAAGCCGAGACGTCTGCGGCGACGCTGATGCCGCTTTTTAGTATGTCTTCGAGGCGTAGGAGGATTTCCTCGCGCCGGCGGCTCTGGTTATGGCTGATGTGGTGGGGGATGAGTTTTTGCTCCAGGCCTTTGAAATTGAAGTAGCGGCAGTCTCGTAGTAGCTCGGCGCGGTGCGACTCGTTACGGATCGTTACGGGGTATCCACGTAGCAGGTGTAGGATCTCGGCAAAGGTATCGGCAGAGCGGTTCGGGACGGACGGCGGTAGGATGGAGGGCGGGCGGAGGAGGCCTTCGCGGTCAAGGCCGGGGAACAGGTCTTCGGGGTTCGAGAAGAAGACTGCGAAGCCGAGGGAGAAGAAGTTTGGCGAATTGCCTGGGTCGGTGAAGATATCGCGGGGGATCTGAAACTCGCGGTGGCCGATGGAGATGAATATTGACTCCTCATAGAGCTGTGATATCAACTTGGGCACTGCCAGAGCTGTGTTAGTCGTAAACGCCGAGGACTTGAATCAAGCAAGCACGCACAGCTATAGAATTGGGCGTCGGCAAAAAGCCGCACAAAGTGCGTGCCGTCTCGGGGTTTAACATGATAGCCTTGGAGGTGGAGGGAGATGTCGGCAAAGGTCTGGGGATCGCGGTCGATGTACAAGGTGCGGATGGCATTGGAGAGATCCTCGCCGGTTTCTTGTGCCTTTTTGACCTGGCAGTAAAAGTACTGAGAGAAGTACGACGGCGCTGAAGACAGAGACGGAGGGTCAGCATGGTGTTTTGTCTTGGGCGCCTGGCGCGGATCGCGGTGGATCGCGGCGCAACGCCGGACGGCGAGTTCGCATTACACAAAGACGGGACTGAGAGAAGTGGGCATGGCAGGGATTCAGGAACGTACCATCGGATGAAATGGATGCGCCGGAGAGCTTAAACAGCTCATTGCCTATCTGTATGGGAAAGACGCGCTCGTGAGGGAGGAAATGAGGAATCTTGGCGACCTGAGCCTCATCGTGAGGTGGCGCTGGGCTCTTTGATGGGTGTTGGGATCTCGCGCTGGTGTTGTTGGCAATGGACATGTCGGCGGCAGCTGATCGACGCTGAGGTTGAGAATCGGATTGCGCTTGTTGAACCATGGCGCCGCCGTGTTGTCTGATCGTATCCAAGATTCGCGACTCGGACGGCAACTCGGCTCGATGTGCCGAGATGGAGAGGTTGTGTGAATGCAGGTGGCGTGAATTGCAGAGTTGGAATTGGTTTACTTAGAAGCAAAGCTTGCGAAGAGCCTTGTCTCCTTGCGCCGCGGTGTCAAAGCACGAACCATGGGCATTGACATCAGATGGCAACGATAACGACGATGAAGATGATGATGACGACGACAGCGGCGACGACGACGACAACATGACCCAAAGTACGTTTGACTAGAGCACTTGATGATTGCGCGCGAATGAGCGAGCAAACGAGGGGCTGGGAGCTTGAAGACGAGGGGCCTTGGATTGGTGGTGAGGTGGTTGTTCCGCGAAACGGAAGTCTACGCGAAAGTAACCCTCCCCTAGAAGGAGAAAAGTAAGGTATGGATACAGCTCTACGATTTGTCCATTACCGCTCGAGAGACCGGGGGGAGGCCTGTAGATTGTAGTTCAAACGGCGCGAGGCCGGGGTTCGAGCAGACGACGAGCTTAAGGTCTTGAGATAAGGTAACGTCGGAAGGGACGGAGACTGGAAGAGATAGTGTGTATTGTCTTTCCAAGGTAAGGTAAGGTAGGGATGAGTCTAATCTTGTTGTGTATGCGAGCGGCACAGTAAGCGCAGAACTGCTAAAGGTGTTGGATCCGTACGGCTACCTTACTACCCCGTTATGGAGGATGAATTGACGCGGAACGGTCAGGTTCCATCTGGGAGGGGGCTGGAAGCCTGGAACTTGGAGGTGCAGGCAGAAACTTGGGGGGTAGAATGGAAGGGACCGGGAATGTCAAAATGCCCTGGTACCAACTGGCCAAAATTCGTCGGCGGGAATACTTTCCCATCATGTCGTTCGTTGCCTGGAATTAACCGACGGAGGTTGGGTGTCTGATCTGTGTGGAAGCTTACCTTATTCCCGGCGCTTGTCCAATCAGACTGTAGGTCGTACCACTGAGACACTTGAGTGCGGTGGCTTCAAGTGCGCTAAAACCGGCTCGATGCTCTGTCAGCGCCAGACGTTCGGGGCTCCCGCGGCGCTAACCTCACTGTAGACACCTCAAAGTGCTAAGCGAGAACGCCAGTCTCACTTGGGATCTAGGCGAGCTGCTCCTTGCTTTCCCGGTGGAAGGTGCTTGTTTTCTTTCTTTCCCATCTCAGTTCTGTGCCTCTGCAGCAAGTGCGCACTGCGGCTTGCAACTGCCTGCCTTGTGCGACGGAATTGTCTCCGGCCGGCCCCTGCCCGAGGTGAATGAGGTGGACCACTTTCCAAATGGAAGGTCCAAGTCGTTCTGTACCTTCCCACAGCATCGGCAGAGAGGCTCCCCGAATTCCAATGGCTTCCCTCAATTTCCTCCATGTCCGTACTATTCGTACGAATAATTACTCCGCAAGGAACCTTACCTTAGTTACGGAGACAACACTTTGCCCACTCGGAAATGACACTGAATCCCCTTCATCGAGATCCACACGTCATTGCCATCGTTCCACTCTCTTGCGGCTTTCTATGTCAAACGTACTGGACCTAGCATCACCAAAAGCAATTATACAAGACACTCGCCTCGACTCGACCTACTCCGTACCACTACAATTGCGGCTTGCCTGTCTCGACTGGCGACCTCGCCAAGATGCCCTCCGCTGCAAGGGACCCCTTCAAGTTCCAGAACAATTCTCCAGATTACCCTGCCAATCAGCTCAATGAGCACTCGAGCTCCTGCAGACTGTCAATTACTTCCCTAGTTTGTCAACCTGATACATGCAGCCTCAACGGGCGTCGGTAGCAAGCACCCAGCACGCTGCCCACCAGCCTGCTTTGCTGCCCTTCATTGTGTCCAGCCCACAGAGTACAGATACGCATACGCATACACAGTACTCGGAATTCGAGCCTCGAGACTCGAGAGACGTCGTCAGCTGCAAGCCCAAGCATGCTGGTCCGAGTATCAGCTTCGCGGCTTCGCCGTTGCTTCTTACAATGCTACCGTCACTTCTGCCTCCGAATCCTCGTCCGATGTCTTCGAGATCCCGCTCCCACCAACCACATCGCATCTGCTCTTACTTCAGACATGACCTACAGACATCCAAGCCAGGTCTTCCTCGATTTCGGCAAGCCTGAGCCGAGGCTGACAACCTCGCCACATCGTGAAGCTTTGCGTCAAAAAGGCCAGCACCGCGGGAACCAAACCTTCTGTCACCAAACTCGACTGATGATCTGCTGTCCCGTCCGGGGGTCTGTTGGTCGATCGTCATTCGGCGAGCTCTAACTCACCTTACCTCACCACAGTATGGAGTACCTACATCGTATTTCTCGGTCTTCCAATCCCGAACTCTTCTCTTCCGTTGTGTCTGTTGTTGCGCCGCAACACGCAATGCCTTCCTCTCGCCCGCTCAAACCGTTCGCTCGTCCCTTCGCACAGTTTGACATGGGGAACTGACTGAAAGGTACGTACCACATTTGTTGCACCGACACGAAGCTGTTCGCGGCAATTGTCGTATGAGGGATGCTTTATTCCGTTCTTTGACGTTGACGGAACCTACTGCACGCCCATCCATGATCTCAGATGCTCTATTCCGGCTTTCACTTCGCCTCGTTCCGCTGCCAACACATACATACGGAGTACGACCTGCATAATAGCTGCAGCAGCTCCAATAAAGCCTGTTCGGCCGAGTTGCGGGTCGAATCCTCTGCTCACTCACACTGGCAGTCTGGCACTGCTTAGACGCCCGCAAAGTCAGGGCCGCGCTGCGATCGCTCCAAAGCTTGCCCATTGGCCCAGAGCCGGATCCTGGAATTACATCCCCTCCCCAACGCGTTTCGAACTAGCACTGCACAAATACAATATACGAACCCGATGCCGGAACCGAACTTGCGGCACACCCAAGGTTCGAGATTTGACGGTCCATTCGTCGACTTGCAACACCGTTTGTTGGATTCGTCGGCTGTCTCGGTGCGCGCCAGTGCACCACGCCCTCCCGAGTCCCTCCTAGGACTCTAGGAGAGTTGCTCGGAGCCGACTTGCGAGCTTCCCACCACAACGGACCGCATCTGGACCCCACTAACACTGAATCTGAGGGGGCTTTCGTGGGGACTTACTTTATTACGACCCGATATGTCGTGCTGGCCAGTTTCAAGGCCTTGCTGTTTTCGAGGTATTACCTCGTGCAGCACAAGGATGCCCCTTCGTCAACGGCACACGTCCCTTGAAGCCGGCTGGCCAACTGGTGGTGCTGGAGAGATAACACTGAACGAGGTCTGGCCAAGATCTTGGAAGCCGTGTTCCTTGTCCCGCTTTGCAGGAAAAAGCAGCTCTGGCCGATCCGGCAGCGACAAAATTGTCTCAGGCTCTCAGCAGCGCGGTCGAGACTCCTATTTCCTACTAATCACTAATCCGCAACTTTGGCATCTATTGGTGGCCATTGGTGCCACCGAAATCAGACGCGCTTTGGAAGGCTCGGAGAAATATCGATTGCCAGAGACCAGATCGGGCCCTTTACACAATCCCACGATCTGTCTTAACAAAGGTCAGCTAATGTACGGAGCCGACCTACCTTATTTTTCCTCGGGAACAGCCAGACGGTCACGGAACCCCGTCCGTCCACAGAATCAACCAAATAGGTACCCATCCCACCGGCGGACAATAGCCGCTGAAACGAAATGAATCGTCTTGGTGCTCTAGGCGGTGCCGGATAGTCGGACTAGAAGCTCGCAGTGGCCAGCGCTCTCTAGAGACAGAAACAGTTGAGGCCGAAATTAGCATACTGACTTTGCCTGCATGCACAGCCTTTATCGCGGGGCAAATCTGGAGCCCGAAGAAGCGCGAGAATTCGTCGCAAAAGCTCTCGGCGGATAAAAGGGAAGAATGGATGTGGACCTTGGATTGATCGTCGCAGAGTATGGGACGAGAGATGGAACATGCCGTCCAAACCGTATTATAGCCTCTTGCAACCATGCGCTCCCTGGAACCTGCGATGGACACCCTGCGACCTACCTCTCTCGGAGGCTCAGGGGCTTGTCACGCGTGGGATGCGGCTATTGTTCTTCCCGTCTTTACCAAGTATCAATCAACCAACAAGACCGGCTTGTCATATGGTACACGCTCACGCTCCGGTGAGTTATGTCGAAAGTGAAGGGAAGGGATCGATCAAACTTTCCCATCCACCCCACCTGGGCAGCAACTGGATCCGAACGATGAATCTGTCTGGAACAAGGACGTCTCTCTACGGGCACGCCCTAGGGGTGAGACAGCCTGCCGAAGAAGATGATTGGGGGCCAGGGCAAGATTAGAGATCGACGAATGAAGCAAAGGAATATGGATGAAGGGAGGCTTGGCTTGGCTGGTTGTTGGAAGGGCAGAAAGCCAGAAAGCCATGAAGCCCAGCGCTAGGCGAGAGCAAGAAGTACGTAGGACGACCCGGCACAAGGCCTGAGCCTGAGGCGCTCGCAAGATATCCAGGGAAGGGTTTAGTGACTGAACGTGCGATGCAGCAAGGCGACAACTAGCTCGCCCGTTGCTCACATTGAGTTGCTTAGGTGAGGATCATGTCACAGTCCGAGATGCGTTGGCACCAAGGTTGGACCTGTCAATGGTCTGTGAGAGAGACTTTGCCTACTCTCAGACGGGGTGGGAAAGTGGACGTATCCGTACTTTATTTCCTCTCAGGCCCGGCGCCGTCACACGTAACGGGAATGCGGTGGGCGAGGAGGAGACTTCGGACCACACTCCGCGCCCAAAGTGATCAGCGCGACCACCACCACCACGAGACGTATGACGCCCATGACATCTAACCGTCCGGAATCACAAGACATGCTTGAAGGATCCGGACAGACTAGGCAGGCTCCGAGATTTGGACAGGCACTGGCAACGATCGGATAACAGATGCCGCGAAGCGCATGCTGTATGAGTACAGATTGCCGTATCGCGCATTTCGCGGCGCGCGCGCACGCGGTAGGCGCGGATTCTTACTTTACCACAACGACACCAAAACCAAAAACATCATTCGCCTCAACCGCTACTGCGGCGCCCCAAGCACAATCGCGCAAGCGGTACGGATAGTTCCCGGCCGGACGGTTCAGCCGAGGAATTGTTGGTTTTCAGCCGGACGTCGTTGTGATGAGCATCCCTCGTCGAGATTAGGAGGTAGTTGAAGCTCGAAGGCTGAAGCTCCTCTCAGGGGTTACCGATCATCAGTGACGGCTTCTCGCTGCTTATTCGTGTACATACTCTTACTCCGTACGGACACACCAGGACGGCAATCATTTCGTATTAACGGACGTCAACGATTTATGTCGCATGCCCCTCGGCCCCATTATGCTCCTGCAATAGATCAAGGTGGTCAACACGAAGTTTTTCCAGGCCCTGGAAATGAAGATACTCTAGGCGTGGCTTTCACTGGCTGCGCATCTCCCGACCTTGACAGGCTCCTGCTCAATTACCTCGAATCGGCTTCCACAACTGGCCTTACAGATGGGGTACCTTACCACCTTACCTCATGTTTGTTGGGGAAATCTTTGACAGGCACTATGCAACTGGCCCACCGCAAGCCATGCCATATCCACTCCTTCCACTTCATCTTGGCCTTCCATCCTCCAACCCTGGAAGACGATTTGCAGTCTTGCGATGGCTCGGCCGGCTTTCTGCACAATCACATTCGGACGGCGGGGACAGCTCGTGCTAGAGGAAGCTTGAGTGGATCAAACGGGCCAGGGGAATTCCAGGCTTAGGTCCAGTCGAGGCCGCTTAGTGACACCCGCTGAGCCCCAGAAACTGTGGGTTGTCTCTGAGTTTCTGGAGACAAGTCCGCTATAGACATGCCGTGTATTTTTGGAAGTGTCTCTGGCCGGGAACGCTTGAAGCCGTTCGTTCCTCCAAGCCAAGCAATGAAGGCAGGGCAGGGTCAGCTACCTGGCCCTCACGTCTCCTTTACACTTCACGTTGGGGATTTGGGGTGCCTCGAGTTTGGACTATTGCCTTTGGATGCCTATCCGCCACAAGATAATAACGTGTATCTGTGCGTGACTAGCTTGCTTGGTGCTTCATCATGACCGGCCATCCTGGCCGCGGGTGGTGGTGTGCTGCTGACGGATCTATGTAGGTACTAGGTATTCGCACAGCTGCCCAAGCAAGCTACCGACGGCACTTACTGTGTATTGTCGTCCATCTTATTAGGTTGTTGACTACTTGTGGGAAGTATTCGGGATCTTGGACAAGGTTCACGTAGCTCCGTCACTGGTTCCCTCATCGCACATTAACTCTACAAGGCCAACAGCACGACATACACACATGCCTAGACACATAGACTAGACACACAACACACACACACACACACACACACATACGTTATCCAGGGCACGGAGACTGTTAGACAGTTGGGCTCTTCCGCCTGCCCGCCCGCCCTTCCTTGCGCTCACGCAAGCACTCACTAGAATTACACGCCCGAAGGCAGCAAACGTCAAGACATCAAGATTCCCGACGCAAAAGCAATGGACAAATTTTCCGGACTCCACCTCAGCGCTAGTTCGTAAGCGAGGACGGTCGAAGTCCCGTTCGGCTCAGGCTTCGAAGGAAACGGACAAGAAACAGAGCCTTTCTCCATTATCCATGCCGATCAGGGCACAGGCGATGGCAACCTTGCAGGTCGTTGCATGTCTGCATTGCACGCTAGAACCAGAGACACCCGCTTACGCCAGGGTTGCTAAGAAGCGTATCCTCAACAACGTACCGTGCCCGTTGACCCGTTCGTTCCCTGTTCAGAGCAGCCAACTCTGTCTCTCGACTCGACCAAGAAGAACAAGAGGCGACGGGATCTTATGGAGCTGCCCGTCTACCGCCCATTTTTACTGTATGACTATGCAGCAACAATTTCCAGGCTTCCTCATGCCCAGCTACAGATTTTCAGCAATGTGGCAAGGGTACCCGGCACGCCGATCCATCGTCCAGCTTCGTTCTAGGCCCAGCGATGCCCCTCAGCCCGGCGACATGTCTCTAGCGGCCTGGCGCATGGCCGGGGTTTTTGACCAGTGGCAGTCTGCTGCTAGTGCTCCGTCTCAGCTGCCGTTTTTCTGCTCTCGAATGTCTTTTTTTCTGCCCAGAGTCTCGATGACCGCTGCATCGGCGTCCCACTTACTGGGGAGTCGGGACGGTGGTACCTTTCCGTGCCTCTCTCAAAGACTCGATCCTCCATCTATCGGTAGGCAATTACACTACCTACCGGTATGTCTGATCCTGAGCTTCAGGCTGCTCGTCCATGTCTGTCTGTGCCTTGACTCTTGAGGCAGGGGCTCGGGACGCCTGCTTTACACTGCGTGGCGACCAGACTGCGCCCAACACACTCCGTCCATAGTCTCTAAAGGCGCTTGCGATTGGAGAGACAGACCGGCGGCTCTTGGGTGTATCTCTCGGCTATCGAACGCCCTCTGTTCATCGGCATCCCACCGCGGTTTCTCTTTGTTAATCTCGCCTTGTTTGGGCCGTTTATCGGACAGCATCTCAGCTACGGATACGCCTACGAGGCGGCGAAGAGGTACCTACTTACAGTAAAGACGACGGCTTGGAGGTTGGAGAGACTTTGAAGTCTCGACTAGAAGAAAGGGCTTAGGGCCTAGAGCATGGCTGTGTCTCTCTCTCTGTCTCCCAGTCTCCCCCACCACAGCTGCAGCAACAGCAGCAGCCAGCTACTCCATCCGTCACGGAACGGATACAAGCAAGTCTTCTTCACCTTAGCCCACCCCCCCCCCCCTTCTTCGATACCAGCACCCTACACGAATACCGGGTTACCTGCGTTCGCCGTACTTCTATGCCTCTCAACCTGAGGAGAATCGCATGCCGGCGTATCCTCACCCTACCCTACCTGGACCCGACCTCCCACCTCCAATCTCTCCAATTGAATGGCCTGGAACGACGGCCGTGGAAGGGGGGTGGATCACCAAATCATCACTAAACACACCACCACGACCGTCTTTCGACTGGCCTACCTTACTCAACCTTCCAAACTTCCCGTCCCGTCCACCACGAACCAGCCCAGACCAGGCCAGGCCTGACAAGGGCACTGTGTCCCTGCACGTTCGACACTTTTTTCTCTCTTCGGGGATCCTGTACATCTCACACCTCGACCTTGACCTCGATTTTGACACGCTCAACTCACCTCAACCCCCCGGCATCTGTCCTCGACTGTACTTCTCTTTGAGGAGAACGAGAAGCGGCAGCAGCAGCAGTAAGAGAACCAACATATCGTTGCTCCCAGGTACCCATCCTCTGGGAGGGGCAGGCAAAGTAAATCGTCAACAATCAGCCCCGTCTCGAGCTTCTCCCGGGATTCGACGGTCAGGAACGACAGAGCAGTTCCTTCAGACAGAGAGGGCCACGGCGCCAGTCTCACGGTTCACCTCCAAGGTTGCCGGGCTAGAAGAAGATACCTTGCCAAAGCAAGCAAACCCTTCCTCACCTTATTACCTTCTCCGTGCCGTCTTCACTCTCCGTCCCTACATTACTCTATACCTTGCCTTGCCTTGCCTTGCCTTGCCTTGCCTTGCCTTACCTTGCCTCGGACGAGGCACTGGACCATACGGCACCCGTACCGCTCTGCACCACACACCCCCAACGCCCCGGGGAAGCTTGGATCATTCATTCATTGCAACTACCAAATTTGGTCTCTTTTTTCCCAATCCCATCTAACCCCCTTCTCCTCTCTTTCCCTTCCATTCTCATTCACGAACTCCCATCTTCTTCTTCTTCTTCTTGGAGCTTCATCTTCTTCCATTGGCGACGGATCCAGGGCCGCTTCTTGAGTAACATCGGCTACGACCTGCCCGGCAGACGGCTACCCCATCTTTGTTGGACACGGCAGAGCAAACAGCTGTTACTGCCCACGCTGCTACTCAGACCAGATCTCTATCTCCAACAACAAGATCGACGTTGCTGCAGCTTCTGCCTCTACTCCCGTCGCTCGTTTTCGCTTTGCGCCTACGCCGCACCCCCCCTCCGACCATCACCCTCACCCGCATTCACAGCATGTATGGCCGGCGAATGACTCGACACCAGTCAGATTCAAGATCCAGCGTCGCGAACCAGAACAGAGGCATCACTAGCCGTGCCTGGGAACGTGAATGAGAACAACGTTGATCAGCGCATTGATCTACAGATACAGCTGTATTTGTTGTTCTTCCCACTACCAGAAATCGCCCGCTACGTGGGCGCGTCAAAGTCTGCACGCAGCGAAAGACACCCTCGAGCTTCGGACCACGAGGCCAGGCACTGCCGTTATTGTTGCTGCCGCCGCTTAGCTGTGGTGTGCCGCCAAGTGTGCTTGCCTGTGCTACGTTGTGCTGTGTTTCCTCGCTTCGTTACTCACCGTCTCTCCCGCTCCCGCTGGTAATTGTTGTCGGTGCCGAACGGGGGGGGTTTCTAGAAATTTTGCATCTTACGGCACAAATGGCCGCCGCAACCACCTCTGCCCCGGAAATGGGCATAGTCACAACAACACTGCATCCCAACACGAACCTTGCTGCTGTTGCTCCCATGGGCTCGATACCTAACAACGCCCCAACTCCCTACGAAACATCACCAACTCTACCATCTCCCCATACTCTCTCTACCGGCGCGCCGGGACCCACGCCTGCACCTACGGGAACCCCTGTACCACCACCTGCTGCCGGCGGAGCATCAACCCCGGCGGCGGCGGCAGCAGCGGCAGCGGCAGCAGCAGCGGCGGCGGCATCGGCATCACGCAGTGTCAAGAGGCCGCGGCCCGTCAAGTCGTGCACCGAATGTCGCAAGCGCAAGTTGAGATGTGACCGCAACTTGCCATGCTCGCAATGCCAGAAGTCACATCGCAACTGCAAGTATGCCGCCGAACACGACTCGTCAATGCTCTCAGATGGCTCGGACGCCGAGATGGGCGAGGTGCAGC